ACGTGAGGGGTGTGTGTAGTAGCTCGTGGCACCGCCCATGTCCATGAACTCGAGGTTCATTCACAAGTCTCACCTAGTCAATGGGCAGCGCGCTCACTTCACTTGACTTACGCATCAAACCCTAGCACCCGGCCAATGAGAACACACTTGAGGTCAGAGAATTGGCTCAGAGCGGCTGGCGAATCGCACAGGGTTTTGCAAAATTTGGCAGTTTCTTTTCGAAAATTTGCGCTTTCTTTGAAAAACTTTGGATTTTTTATGCAACCTTGCGGTAAATGATATAGAGGCGATTTTCACACACTATCTCGAAGGTAAATCGAATCTCAACTCACGTAAGCAAAAGGTAAATAATTTCTCCGAACACAAAGAACCCGCAGTGCGTAGTGTAAAATAATATTCCGATGGTAACAGCAACGGCCGAATTTGTAGGTCCCGCCACGTGCAGTTCATTGCTGGACGGGGTGGCATATGGATGTCGCCCAAACATAAAGACAAACCGCAGTGCACGCAGGTTGGTGAGTGCATGGGAAAAGAGATGAATGACTTGGTTTTGCTGCGGCTCTCCACCGTCCCTGCACTCCACGATCGACGGTTTCGTCCAGGTTTGGACTCATCAGAAAGAGATAGCCGAGCCGGGAGTGGAATTCGGTGCAGTGCTTGGCGGCTATCGCTATGATCAATAGGCCATTGAGCCTCGCGAGCAGTGCTTGACACAGAGGAGTGACTTGTCTGGTGAGTGGACATCTATGATGGACCTCGATTCGGTGGTGTCGTCGCAAGTAGCCTTGCTCGAACGTGCGGTGACATGAATTCCAAATGGCAAGTGGATTCCAATAAACCAAGGTGATGCAGAGGTCACAACGTGTTTTACTGTGTTGTGATCAAGCTAATACTTCAACACAGGGGTCACCAAACTACGGCCCGCGAAGTCGCTTTATCCGGCCCACCGACTGTGCCCAAATTTGCCTGGTAGAGCGAATGGAATAAAAGACGTTATGATACAATTAGCATCTGACACTCAGTCATATAGTCCATGACTTATGCTGGATGTACACTAGCATAAGCTTACTCATGGTTGCTACATGTGACACCGTACAACTGTACCATTGATGACCCCACATCGTAGGAATATTGAATTGATCACGAATGAAATCCATTCATCTGTGCACCCTACTGTGTTTCCGTTTACTTCACACTCTTGTGTCCTAGTTTTCCGTTGGCCAGCTCCCTTGAAGCACATGTCATATAAAGCGCAGCCTATTAAGGCGTCATTGGTTTATGCATGTTATTTTGAAGTTATATTCCTTAGCTATTTGGAACGAATTGCAAGTTGTCAGCAAGGAATTGCCCCGGATGGGCAAATTGTTGAGGTGTTTTAATAGTTATTGTTATTGTTTGGAACAACGTGATTTTTTGTTCAAATCCCCTTTATTTCAGTACTCACTAGGTCTACTAAGAAAATAAAAGCGGACACCGAATATCGGGTTTCACTCTTTTTTAGACATTTTCTCCTGGCTTGCATGTATTGTGCATAATAATTATAATATATATATTTTTAAACAAATGTGGAGGTGCGTCCATATTTGACACGGATCATATATGTGCAGGTAGAATCATGTTCTTGCATGGTCAATATGAAGCTGTGGCGAATAAAAAGATACCGGTATTTTCTCCAACTGTTCGAGGCACAGTCCAACTAGACAGTCTGATAATTATGGACAGCGAAATCGCACACAACAGATGTTTGTTATGTGACTTTTGCAAATCAGTTATTAAACTATTTGGGTGGGGTCAGAGCTGAGTGATGGGATAAGTTTTTCGGAAAGATGGAGTGGTTGTCAAAATAAGAAATGTAGGTGAATTCAAATGTTCAAGTGAAGTAATGCGGCCATCAATGGAACGGTTTCCTGGGGACCTGTTTCCATACGGGGTTTCTCTCGATGGGTTTCACCCGCACTTACATGCCCCATCTGGCCGTGTGCCGGTGTGGCTTTCAAATGATTATGCGGCTCACGCTAACCATATTGTCAGTGATCCGGCTCGCGGGGGAAATGTTTGGCGTTAGGAGATATCAACACACTAGTACCTGTAGGCACGAAATCAACTAACCTAGTTACTTAAGCAACAAGAAAGTGGTGTGACTTCCACCGTGGGTTAATGCGATCGGTGGATGGAATGATATGCTACGAAAGCAAACTTCCTGTACATCGCGGTTATCGCCATTAAAATATACAGATAAATATCGAATTCAACGAGTTCACTGTTCGATAATTCACCATTGACAATGACGTCCATCACGATACGTCCATGTGTAATTAGGATTTTTTCTAGTATTTGGTTAGTATGTGGAGCGGAAAACGTTGAACGATGAGATAAATGATGTGATTAATTTTAGAGGATGCGTACGTGCTGGAAATTCCTCCACGGTAACGAAAAGGTTTTTGTCGAGACGAGGTAACCCCCAAAGATGATCCGTATGTACGGCAACAACAGACTCATTCGTAACAACCGATAATACCTACTTGTAAGGTAGAGTTGCCCAAATCGAGTGTATGGAACATGTTATGCACAAGGTGCCGGTGAACGGGATTATGATCTAGTCAAGATAAAAGGAACCATGTAACTCCGATCGAACTAAAGAATAATGAACAGAATGAGAAATTCCCATTAGATAAAGGTAATTAACAATCCAGAGTTGGATCACACGTAGCCACTATCAAGAATTTGGTCGATGCAGGCTAGTCGATGCGCAGTTGCACTTCATTGAGACGTTTCTAAGGCTAAAGCTTGGGTTCGCGTTACAGCATTGTGGCTAGTTGCAAGCAATTCGTTTTGTTCGTCGACACTGTCATTTGGTCTACGCACACGGCCAGTGAAATAAAGGGGGCGTTGGATTCCCACTGTGGGTGCTAGATGCCCTTTCACCTGGATGCACTTAGTTTATTTGGAGATTTGAAGCTTGAGGCGTCCGTGGACGCACTGGGACATCCACCATATGTGTGTGTGCGGCCAATAGCACTGCATGGATTGGAGGCATAGTCACTATGCGTCAACGACGGAAAAGGTACCACCACCTTTGATCCATAGTATTTCCGGAGCATCGCTTAGATTAGATGAAACAAAAAAGTGAGTAACGTTGGGGTCCACCGGCTGGGTCAAGCAAAAACAGTCAGGTACTGCTTTGAACCGTTTGCTTAAATGCACCCACCCACGTTGTATAGGGCATATCCTTATTATGTTCATCGACGGACCAACCCGATGATCATTGCGTGCTACTCCTGTACTTGATCGGATAAAGCCCTAATTAATCATTCCATCACGGGCATGTTCAAACGGGTGTGTATTGTCTTCACGGGAGAAAGCTTTTGAGGTCGGCCACAGTAGAAGTTCGGTACCTCATCCGACATGTGTCATCGGGAAATCCATGATGCTTTTGCACCGTCTCTTGCTTTGCACTATTGGCCCATTATTTCGAAAATTATAAAATTATAACTGAGTAGTTTCTTCTCGAAGTGTACGAGAAGAGGTATTTTGAGTTAATTACATAATTTTTGGTGAACATAAAACTCCCGGAGTGCTTATTAGTTGGTCAGAAAATATACGGACAAATAATAATCATAGTGTGTGGGTACCCAGATCGAATAGCTTCGTTGAAGCCTACTTAGCGTAAGAATCAACCATTCTGTCTTGCTTAGAATAGTCAGAAAAATTTACAGGTAAGTGGGAGTGGAGAAGCAGGAGTGTATGAACAACAGTGTTCTTAGCAAAGTACTGAAACACCCGCAACCAACTGGGCGTCGTAGCAACTGGTTCGTCGACTGGGCAGGCGCCTCGATTACAATGAAAGATGCGGTGGAACATAATCGTCATCTGATTAGTCGGCTAAATCGTCGCATTTCATGGCGATAGACCGCAGGACAAATCGTAGCCACGAAACGTTGACTGTGCTGGGTGTTAGTCGGAACACAGAGAAAGATGAAATCTCTGCTATAGACAGGGATCGGTGATCCTGCAGATGTTGCAGGAAACGTCTGTTTATATCCAATTGAAAGTTACAACTCGAGAGATGGTAAAGAGTAGGTTTTGATTGCAAGCCGAATATCCTGCATAGTATCATCAGAGTAACTCCAGTAGAAGTGTATGTGAAAGTATTTTTGTGACAATGAGAAGTGCAGAGTCAAATGGCTCAGACCAGAAAGAACAAGATTTCAGTTCAAGATAATACGGTAAGTAATAGTAACAACAGGGAGGTCTGTCATTCATAGCCAACTGAAAGCTCCAACACGTAACAATGAGAATGGGAAGTGTTTGCTCCAATTTCAGTTGGATGTATACTCGTAGGTTTGTGTTCCGAGTACTTGTCATTTTGTATTTATTCTCGTGGTGACTTAGTTTTGCAACTGAGTCCACGGTACTTTGGAGCGTAGTTGATTAATTTAACTGAAAAATTGAGACACCTTGAGCAATGATTAGACTTCATGGCTCACAAAAGACAGGAATGTACTGAATCAAGGTGAGCTTTGTCCGATTCTATCGAGAACAGCTGCTTTTGACTGGAAAGCAAAGCCATACTGCATCCCGAAACCGTGAAAAGGCAGCAGTTTCAGTTCATCGCAAGTGCCAGGTGCAGTAATCTAGTGTTGTATAGATATATACCCACGGTAGCCTCAATCCGCACGCCACCTCTATGTCGGTATATGTGACAAAGGAAACCCGATACTATGCTAAAATTTACACGCAATCTAACCTATTGTGATAACTAGCCTTGTTTGGTTCAAAAGATACTATATTCTTATGCGTTTTTTATAATATTCGGAAAAAGTTGTACATATTTAAATTTCGACTTGCTCTCAGAATACAGTATTCAGTTGAATGTCCTTTGGTTGAACAGTAGAATCACGCTTCAATTGTATCCATCCTTTGATAGTGGATTTGTGCTTGATTGTTCCTACTACTCAATGTTTATTTTAAAGATCTTTCGCTTTCCCACTATTAAACAGATCACAACAAACGACACCTGCATCAGATTCCGTGCGGAACGGTACTACCCAGCGGCCAACATGACACAGCAGCAAGTTTGCTCTGCTTACGAATTTTATGAACCAGGTCAGAATTGGTGCATTTCACTGGGGTTGATGTGGGTGGAGGACTCACTTTTTGAGTTCATGGAACTAGCTGTGAGAGTGAAACACTTGTATCATAAACTAGGCGTCAATAGTGATAAAGCAATGGCGTCTGCAATAATGACTCTTTCCGCACATCCTGAAGTATAAACAACACCAACTGGATATTGGTCACTGTTCTAGTGGTGGTACAGGGTCCAATATAGCCGATTCGGTGCATTCCGACGCGATACAGCGACTGATCAGTAATGGTTTACAAAACCAACAAGTTTGATAACAATGAATACCTCTAGTTGATCGGATGTATAGAGGTTGTCCGAACAGTACTGGTAACGGAGTGGTAGATCATTTCTGTTGACAGATGCGAAAGTGACCTGTTTGTTTTTCGAGTTGCAACTTAGTACATCCTCGCCTGCGTTACTTTTATCTGGGTTTAGTAAGTACTCCAGTTAAGGCAGATGTCAGCAATATGGCGGCAAAATGCCTAGTATGGGTCTTGTGTGTTTTGATTCATGTAGTAGAGAGTCGAACTGCAAATATACTTCATCCATCAAGCGTGTGCAGAAATTTCTAGTAGTGAAAAAAGTGAATCTGAGAATACATCGAGTTTGCAAACAGGCACAAGGGGAGCAGTATCGGTAAATGAATAGCTCCTGTTTACGATGAAACGGAGTAAACATCTACAACTCTCCAAAGCGATGATCAGTGTAATGGCAAAACAGTAATTTGTTCTCAAGTCAAGTCAAAATAAGCTTTATGAATCCTAATGGGTTCATTTTCAGCACTTATACCACCACGGCGGATACCTGGACGATAATATTAATATACATGCTTGGGTAGAAAAGTGGGAAAAATGCAGAACAGTTACTCCAACAAGCGCTGGCACAGAATGTTAGCGACTTTTGCTGTGTCAACAAGCAAACGTAAGAGATAAGGCATAACAGTATTACGATACGATGACGTGCAGAAGAATAAAATTCTGAATTTCGAACGAGTAGAAGGGTGTGTTTTGGAAAGATCATTGTGAAGTAGATGAAATTGATCAGTTAGTATCTTAGAAGAAAAATCATTACAGGCATCAAGATGTTCAGAAATGATCAAATTAAATAAAGAATCTCTAGACAAACCGCTGCATCTAGAAATTGGCATTATAGATTGCACCAATAAGAGGTAGTCTTTCTGAAGCAGTGCAGGGAAAACGACAGGAGAGCAGTATAGCCAATGGGGAATAATACAGGAAGTCACAAACCTGAATATTAAATTACGAAGTACTGAAAGCACCTTAAGTCTGAGGGCGTAAAAAGAAAGTTTGCTGAATCGTTGAAAAGTTTTACAGACGTACGTGGATCAAGAAAGGTTCTGGGACAAAAAACGCCGAGCTACTTGACGGTAGAAGAGCTAGGTATGGGATTTTCATTCACAGTAAGTGTGGAGGAAAAAGCTGTGCGGGATGTAGTGGTCGAAAAATACTAGGAAGGTTGCAACCCCTTAGTAAAAGGCAAAAAGTTGGAAAGGGTCAACTCACAGTCTAATCACGGTCGAGTTCGAGTCGTAGGTTGCGCTATACCTGTGACACACGTCGAGCACAATGGAAATAGACGTTCGATAATAATTCCGAATATACTATCCGATTTTCAAGCAGACTGGACGGCACCGTACACACGCAGAAGCAGTATAGCCAGAAATCAGCACGACGGAACGCGGGGCGCGAAGAAGTGTATATTAATCATTAATTCAAACAAACTGTACAAAAGATGCAATGATAAAATTGATGACAAGAAAGACAAAATGTGAAAGATTAATAACCACTACAGGGATTGCAATTTGTCCCGTAGGAAAGAAAATATTACATTCCTGCATTTAGAATCATTAACCGTAAGAGATCTGGATGAAGACAATTCCACCAGATCATCGAACCAACCTTGAAGTGATGAGGAATCCTGGTTAGTGGGGGATATGCATCCCAGCACATCATCAGATCTACACACACACACACACACACACACACTATACACGTTAGCTAGAGATGAGAAACACCTCAGCTACTGTGCGCAAACCTAAAAAATAGCAATCAAGTGCAACAGGTGCAAACCAGCTGAGCTACCGGTAACGAATGGGCATCGTTCCGGTAAGCTACCTGCCGGCTATAATGCAGCAGAAAAAATTATTTGCTATGCAAAATTTTAAAATGTCAAATAATGAGATCGTGGTTGGAGGGGGAGGCTAAGAGGGGTGGGGTTGGACAAAGAAACTCACAGCACGAACGCCACTGAGGTCGGCTCCTAGCCATATCAGCAAGTGTATCCAGCCAAACGTGTTCATCGTCTTTCGGACCCCAACCAGGGAGCCGAGATGCTCCAACTGAGGCTAGCTTCGAAATGAGGGCCTTCATTCCTCTCGACCAAGTCATCGTTTGGCCAACTCTCCTCTTCTTCCATCCACACCCCCGGTGTACAAACAACACACGTCGCGGGAGTCGGTGGGCTGGCATGCCGAGCCATCGGAGCCTGGTGCGTGAAATAACGGTGCTGAGCGGTTCAGTTTCTTTTCCTGTGCCATAGACAACGCGTCGAACACGCTCGTTACTCACGCGATGTTCCCACCAGATGTAAGCTAAATTGCGAAGGCACCGGTGGTCGAACGTAACTAGCCTCTCCAGGTCCGGTGCTTTAAGCGGCCAGGTTTCACAACCATACGGTACGGTCGAACGCACCGCTGCATTGTACACTCTACCCTTCAGGGCGAGAGTGATGTCGCGCCGGCGCCATAAGTGGCGAAGGTTAGCAAAAGCGCCTCGAGTTTCTACCATACGGTTCGTGACCTCATCTTCGATCCCAAGGGTCCTAATACAACTTCCCAGATAGTTGAATTTCTGGATGACTTCTGGCTGATCCCCAACAAGGGTCAGTGCAGGAGGCGATCCATGCCAATTTTGGAGAAAAGCTTTGCAGTTCGAAGGTGCAAACCAAAGCCCGAAGCGGCTGACAGCCAGTGCTAATCTGTCCAGTGCCGCTTGGCACGTCTGGGAGCTGTCACAGATGAGGGCAATATCGTCTGCATATTTCAAGTCAAGAAGTCGTCCTCCTGGGAGTAGCTCCACACCTTCTAAGTCGTATCCTGTAAATGCAATCTTCATAACTTCGTCAATAGCGAAGTTGAAGAGGAAAGGTGACAGCGGGCATCCTTGTCTAACACCGCTGGAGATATTATAAGGCAACAGTTTGCCGTAAGCTCTCACTCTGCGCGTGCTACGCACGTATAATGCTCAGATAAGATTTACATATTTCTCAGGTACACCTTTCCTGAGTAGACAGTCCCGAAGTGCATGTCTATCCACCGAATCGGATGCACCTTTGATATCGAGGAGCACGACAACGGTGGGCCGCCAATATATGTGACGGTGCTCCAACAACTGACGCAAGGTGAAGATGTGGTCAATGCAGCCACGACCTCGACGAAACCCGGCTTGCTCTTCACCAATCTGGTTTTCACGAGTGCCAGTCAGTCTGTGAAGGATGACAGAGGCAAGCAATTCGGAGGCGATGGATATCAGACTGATTCCTCTATGGTTGCCGCATTCCGATCGTGAGCGTCCCTTGAAAATTGGGACTATGACGGAGCGGACAGTTGCCTGCTCCTACAGTTTCACTAGTAACTCGTATACATCATCCACAAGAGCAGATCCCCCGAATTTGAAGAGAACTGGAGGTAGATCGTCTGGTCCCTTGGCTTTATTTAACTTCAACAGTGCGACCTCACGTTCGACTTCTGAGTGAGAGGGTGGGCCCAAAGGGACAGTTTAGGGAGCGGGGCGATCAGTGGCCGGCGAGAAATCTAACAATTCTGACCGATTAAATTGACTTTCAAAATGCTCAGCCCAGCGCGCCAAGCGTTTTTGCAAGTTGTGCATAGGCTGTCCACTCTCATCACGTATAGTTTCACTAACATAAGGTCTTCTGCTGCCCGTTTCGCGTATCAGCCGGAATACACACACACACACACACTAAGCACGTTAGCTAGAGGTGGGAAACACCTCACCTACTGTGCCGCAATACCTAAAAGAAGAAGAGGGAATAAAATGCAATAGGTGCAAGCCAGCTGAGCTACGGGTAACGAATGAGCATTGTTCCGGTAAGGATGGGCATCAGCCGGAATAACTTACGATGGTTACCAAGGGCAGCATATTTACACCCTACAAACGTGGTTTGTGTAGGGATATGTTCAATATATAACGAAAATAGAAAAGGTGATAGGAACGCTCCCTGTAGAACACCACAATTGGCACAGAGGGCAGAAGATTGATTACCGTTCAACTTGGTGAAGTGAGTACGATCTGTAAACTAGTCACGTAAGAGATTACAAACACCAGGATGAACCATTTTTGGATAACAGTTTAGCAATCTTGACCTATCCAGGCTTCCAAAGGCATTCGAATAATCCAGGAAGAGAAGCCGTACGGATTTGCATTTTTGATCTAATGCAGAGGCTGTAGAATGGACAACATATGCCATTGCATCCAATGTGGAGCGCTGGCGTCTATACGCAAACTGGTAGGTATCGTCTCTAGGAACAAGTGAAAAAATCTGCGAAATTAACAGTCTTTCGAAAACTTTTAGGAGCACAGATGTACATGCAATTGGGCGATACTTTCGAGATCCAGTTTTTGGCACTGAAGTGATACTGGCCGTTCTCCAAATGTCCGGGATCACACCTGTAGTGAGGCACTTGTTAAAGAGGTCTGTTAGAGGCAGTGTGAGAGAATTAGCACACATCTTCAAAGCTAAGGGTGACAGAGCATCAAGACCACAAGCTTTTGCTACCTTTAATCTTTTGAGTTCCTTGTAGACGTTGCTTTGATCGAAGGGCGCGGCTGGACCTGTACTAATGAAGAAGGGCAAGGAAGATGAGCTTAGTGAGGCGGAACTAAACTCTGAATTCAGTTTTTCCACATCCACTTCACCACTCTGGCTGCAAACGCTGTTACCACAGAGCTGCCACAGAAGCGCCCATAAATCGCGACAGTTATGGTTGCCTAGAACTGCTTCGATGTATAATTGGTTTAGTCTTTTTATCTCGGATTTAATTGCCGTGGTTATGTTTTTGACACTGGTAGCATTGGTGCACTTGTAAGCCCATTCTTTCATCCTTCGAAGTCACTTTACTAGTGGTGATGAAAATGTATCTGCTCTTAGATAGATCGTTTCAACAGGGCAACACATGTCAAACAATATTTGATGTAGACCGTAAGATAGTCACATTCTAGCGACAGGTTCTCGTCGTTGAAGACCGAAAAATCAGTTAAAGAAAACATCGTCTGGAGCACCGTGATATTTTCCAAGGAGCAATTTTGCAGTTTGATAATCTTGTAAGGACGTCTGGTCAGCGTTAAAAACTTGGACCTGCTGTATATGACTGTACACAGTTTTAAAAGACAATGGTCTGAGCTGCTCAAATGTGCCCGCTTTTTGGTAAACAACTGTCGTTTATTTGTGAACGCGGCGTCCAACTGGGCACCTTGTTTGGGCGAAACAGTCACCAGGTCTACCAAGCTGTGTCTTCAAAAATGTTGTATCCTTTCTATTGAAGTCGCCAGCAATAATACAGATAGAACAATCTAAGTTAACCAGTACTTTAGGTAGTAAGTAAGTAAGTAAGTACTTAGTAATTTAAGCAGTACTTTAAGCAGGATTGTCCTCAGATAGCCTTAACTCCGATGCAGATGTGTCAGGAGCAATGTATACGTTTCCAACGATGACTGATCGTAAGACCCTTAGGAACTTTGGTTTGCACTCACTTAAATGGCAGCTTATAGAAATCGTTTAGTACGTAAATAGTATGATTGTTGCGTTGCACCAACGTTGACTAGCGTACGTTATAACGCCACCTCCACGGAAATGGGGCTTCCCGAGGTGGTCAGACCTGATGGGAAAACCACCATCAAGTTGAATTACCCCATTTTCCACATCAGCATGCAACCAGCTTTTTTGTAACAGAATAATTCCTGTATTAACATACTTATTTCGCTGCATAATGGAACTGAGATGACTGATTTTACCAAGGAGCGAGCGAACATTACTGGAATGTATTAGTGGAACTTGCGCTTTGTCGATAGAACAACGACTGAGACCAGATTGCCAGCCAGCACGATGCTTGCATTTTTTCCAAGACATTTATTCGTAATACCATTGCAAGTATTCCCGACTTTATGACCGCATTCGATAAGGCATGGATTCAAAGCAGTAACCCGTAACGTTTTCAAATGGGTGACGGAGTAGGACAACATTGATCTTGAGACCTGAACAGAAAAAATAAATTGCTTCATTTAAAAATAAAATATAGAATTTGCAGTCTGTGGTGTAAAATAATGCAACAAGAAAATCAACGCCCGAATTTGAAGGCCCTGTCTATGAACCTTTAGATTTATACAGATGTACCACTATACACAGCAGAGAACTGTATAGGTTGAGGCTCAAAATAATTTATTCAAAGTACCTCAAGTGTTCCAAATGCATATGACAGATTTGTATGTATTTGTAAGCCCGCTACAAGCGGTAATGGTACACTAAGTGGAGTAACCTAATGATATCGAGTACTTAAGGATTTGACAGCTCAAAGAACATTGTCCTCGTTAGTTGTTCAGTAAGAGATCCCAGGTTCAAAAGCTTGAGTAAATGTTCCTGTGCTTGCAGGCATAAAATGTCAATAAAGCAAGATCCATTTCCGTTTACCACAGCTAATCAGGTTCCTTATAACGGCTTTTCTAGATGATAGAGGTAGCTCTCCATTTCTGTACCGTCTACGATGCCCTAAGTGTATGTGCACGTATGGTTATCTTCTCATACCAAACAATTTACAGGTCGTTACAATCATTCAATGTACAACGTAGTCTCTCTATACACAAACAACATATGCAACGTCTGCGGGTCATTTGCTTGCCCCTATTGTCCGGATTACAATGGAGTACGGAGAAGATTTTCAAAGACGCACAGCATTTTTTCTCACATTTTCGTTCTTCTCCTGGCCCGAATTAGTCAGTGGTTCCTATGACTCCACCTCTTCATACATCGGATGAACCCACTCCGTTGGGTGTGGACATCATCTGACCCATCACGATGTCTGCAAAAATATACCTGGTGACCCTTATGTGTTGAACTCAGAAGCGCACAGGAAGCTGTAGATAATTCTTATATTCGCTTTATAAATGCCGGCTATGTCGAGTGCTTCACACATGCCTCTTGCCAGAATTTCTCTTTGTAACCTTCCAACTTTCGATCCAAGAAAATCTGTACTATTTTTAATGCAAAGTATTCATCCGTTTATTGGATACAATATTCCGTCGGTGTCCAATGCAGTTCTTTGGCTTCTGTTGCTAGTGGGCAAACTACACGGTTACCACTATCTGGCATCACACCCGTCGTAGCACTAAGTGCATCGCATCATTCCTTCAATACACCAAGTTCATATCATGTCAGAGCCTACATTTACCTACTTAGCTTCACGATTTGGCTGCAGGCGTTTTCAGCACCAATACAAGTAACAGTGCGTAGTTGTGGATATCCAGCTCTGCAAATCTAATTCGCAAATTTTTGTTGAATAATAACCATGTCATGGTGCGCAACCAGGTCAGCACTAGTGCTTATCAATCGGATGAGTTAAAACGTGGACGCTCCGTGCATGACTTTGATATGTAGATATTACGGACTGAGTGCCGGACGTACATCAACTAATATATTGCTGTAGGGAGCAAGAAGTAACGAGCAAATAAAGGCTACTCCACATCGGATTTTCGCAATAGTCTCTGATGCCGCAGCCAAGTCGACAGTGAAAATCCCAGACTGTCGCAAAAACCAATTCTTCATAGACAAATGATTTAGGTAGACATTTATCACATCTAGACTCAGTAGGACAGTCATCACACACCTGGGAAAGCATTGTACAGTCGTCTCATCCTTTCGGAAATCGTCAGCAGTGCGCATTCCATCTGACCCTGTGGGGCTCGAATCCGCAAATCGATTGTTGCTAGTGCTTGGCTGAGACCACTGAGACGGTAACGATCATCATGACTGTTATTAGATGCTATATATAACGCCGCTCATTCGGAAATGACTTGCATGTTACTGCCGTGCAGAGAACAGAGCATTCCCCTTACTCGGCAAGGAACGCCATTGAAAATGACGGCACATAGGACTCGCGAATCGCTGCGAAACATGTTCTGGTCCATATCCATGATGAACGATGTCTTTGGGCCATTGAGTCTCAGCGTTTGACTCAGTTAAACAAACAATCCGGAAACTGAAGGAAGCGCCACCAAACCTGTAACGATCAGTGGAGCCACGTAGATGAGTGCATATGCCCAATGAACAATTGCGCTGGATGAGGTCCCAACCGGTCATGTATTTTGTTCATCTGTACAATCCGCTCCCAATATGTGTCCCTATGACAAGGATATCAGGCATTTTCGGATTACCTCGGGGATGTAACGGTAGCTGTTGCAGTAGAGTTAACGATAAAGGTTCGTGGCACTGTTCGCTTGCCAAAAGCGAGGCGAATGCGGTGTTACACATGGTGTAAGTGCATTACGCGAAGTAGGTTCACCTGACGAAGGCTGGACAGTTTGGTCGACAGACAAGAAGCAGTGAGGTGTTTCGAGACAACCTGGCTGGGATCAAAGTGAATATGTCAATCTTACGTTATGCTACCGTGGTTTGATGAAGCGGTAGTTATTAAAACTGGATCTGGTGCCTTGGCGTCAAATGGTGATGATGTGATTATCGGGCGGTTTGTCCCCGATGGTCACAGAACAGTCGATGACACTCAGAAGCCGGACTTGAAACGCTGCTACAAGCTGGCCGAGCCTATCTGAGTACATCATCATCATCATTATACACGTTAGCTACAGGTGGAAAACACCTCATCTATTCTGCCGTAATATTTAAGAGAAGAAAAATAGTACGACAGTGGCACACCGGCTGAGGCCCCAGTAACGGATGGACATCGTTCCGGAGAGCTAACAGCCAAATATCGTGCCGTAAAAAGAGTTATATTATGCCTAGCGAATGAGATCGTGAATGGAGGGGGAGGCTAAACAGGAGGAGGTGGACAAAGCAACTCATAACACAGACGCCATTGGGGCCGGCTTCTAGCCATATCAGTAAGTATGTCCAACCAAACGTGTTCATCGTCCTTAGGACCCCAGCCAGGCAGTCGGGATTCACCAACCGACGTTAACTTCGAAGTAACGGTCTTCATTTCTCTCGACCAAGTCATCGCTTGGCCTCCTACCCTGCTCTTCCAACCGCACCCCCGGCGCGCAAACAATGCACGTTGCGGGAGTCGGTGTGTTGACATGTGCAACACGTGCCCCACCCATCGGAGCCTGGTGCGTAGTATAGTGGTGCTGAGCGGTTCACTCGCTTTACTGCACCAAATACGCGACGCCGAACACGCTCATTGCTCACGCGGTGCTCCCACCAGACATGAGCTAAGCTGTGAAAGCAGCGATGATCGAACGTGACTAGCCAGTTTATGTCTCTCGACCTGATGGGCCAGGTTGCACAACTATATAGGAGAGTTGAACGGACGGCTGTGTTATAAACCCTGCCCTTCAGGGCGAGATTAATGTCACGTCTGCGACACAGGTGGCGAAGATTGGCAAAAGAACCTCGAGCTTTTGCTATACGGTTCGTAACCTCATCTTCAATCCCACGGGCGTTAATATAGCTGCCAAGGTACTTAATTCCTGAAGGACTTCTAGCTGATCATCACCAAGGGTGAGCGCAGGGTTGGGTCCCTGCTAATCTTGGAGAAGTACTTTGCATTTCGATGGAGCAACGCATAACCCAAGACGATAGACAGCCAGTGCTAATCGGTTCAGTGCTGCTTGACATGTTTGGGAGCTGTCACAGATTAGGACAATATCGTCCGCGTATTCCAAGTCAAGTTGCTCCCCAGAAAGTAGCTCCACACCTTCTAGGTTGTGTCCAGCGAACGCTGTTTCCATGACTTCATCAACTGCGAAGTTAAAGAGGAAATGTGACAGCGGGCAACCTTGCCTCACACGGCTGGTGATACTGAAGGGTGGCGACAGTTTGCCATAAACCCTCACTCTGCCCGAACTACGCGCGTACGGCGCTTTGCTAATGTTTACGTATTTATCAGGCACACGTTTGCTCAGCAGACAGTCCCAAAGGGCACATCGATCGACTGAGTCGAAGGGACCTTTTATGTTAAGAAACACGACAACGGTGGGTCGCCAATAAACATGGCGGTGCTCCAACACTTGACGCAGAGTGGTCGATGCAGCCCCGACCTCGACGAAACCCGGCGTGCTCTTCACGAATCTGGCTTTCACGAGTGCCAGTCAGTCTGTGGATAATGACAGACGCAAGTAATTTAGAGGCAATTGAGATTAGACTGATCGCCCTAGGATTGCCGCATTCCGAACGGGAGCCTCCCTTGAAAATTTGGACAACGGCGGAGCGGCTCCAGTCTGTCGGGACAGTTGTCTGCTCCCAAAGTTTCACTAGCAATTCGTGTAAATGATCTACTAGAGCAGGTCCCCCAAATTTGAAGAGGGCTGGGGGAATTCTAACTGGCCCTGCGGCCTCATGCAATTTCAACAGCCTCATCTCAAGTGCGACTTCTGCGCGTGAGGGCGGATGCAAGGAGACGCCCCAGGGAGAAGGGCGCTCAATGTCCGAAAAAGAAAGTGATAACTCAGGTTGGTTAAATTGCCTTGCAAAGTGTTCGGCCTAACACTCCAAGCGTTTTGACAGGCTGTGGATCGGATACTTACTCTCGGCGCGTGTGGTCCCGCTAACACCAGGTCAACTGCTACCTGTTTCCTGTATCAGAGGGAATAATTTAAAATGATTACCAACGGTAGCGGCTGTTTCCATCTCCGAGGCACGAAGAGATCACCAGGCTTCACGGTCTTTCTTCAAGCTAGCACGTAGTTTTGCCATGAGATTTTTGCGAGCCTCATTGTATTCGCTTTCAGCCGGAATACGTCAGCAAACATCCATAAGTTCCAGAGACTATGTAGAGACTCAATGTCCAGTTTGGCAATTTGATTTGCCACATGAAGACATGCCTGCTGATAGTAACGTTTGACGAATATGGGACCAGTGATCTTCGACGGTGTTCAGTGAACGCTTACTGAGCTCGGATGTCAGCGCACTTTGATACATATTCAGAAGACCTGGTTTCGCCAGCTGGCTGGTGTCAATACGCTCACATCGACGTTGCGGACGTCCACCGAAACGCACCCGGAGGTCAGCGCAGACAAGTGCGTGGTCAGAGTCCACGTTCGTGCTCCAAATCGAGCGACAGTTTTGGACACAGCCTCTCCAGCGGTAAGTGATCGCGATATGATCGATTTGCCTATCTGGATACAGCATCAGAAAGAGTATGTATGGTGGCACTAGGTAAGAATTCAGCAATGTGCGCATAATACTGAAGTACGGCACATTAGGCAATCAAAACAACAAGACAAGTAATTTCGCAGAGTGTCAGGGTGCTGAAAAATGTGTCTGGAAATACGCTGATTACAAGCACTAGATAAAGGGGTTATGTTGAATGGTTTCAGTTTTGCCGCTCAACGAAAGGATAATTGAGGCAGTATTTGAAACTGATGAGGATTGGGAGAGATGTTTGACTAACGCAGACACGGCCGTTTCTATGGTCGATCTGGAGGGGGGGGGCGTAACTACAGCCATGTATGATATCCAACAGAACCGCGGACAGTAGCAACAGTTCTATTGATAGCGTGGCTGGCCATAAGGCTGTCTGCAAGCAAATGCCAGAAAGAACACCCGTGACTCCCGTTACCGAACTGAACAAAAATGATGTGCTTTAGATTAAATGATCATCGTCAGTGTCACCCAATGAATCACCGAACACAACTGAAACTAAAACCTTTGAACCGAGTCACCAGTAAAAACTATGGCATCTTACGTCTAGTGTGTACTAACGTCCCCGAATCCCAATGCATTAAGTTGATAGATGACCGTGATTAATGAAATTCCAACTGTAATGCGATCTGCATA